GACGACCAAAGATAATTAAAAAATGTAACATGCTACGAAAGGCTGTATGTAAAACTCGTGTTGATGTGTGAAACATTGCTTCTCTCACTTTGTTACCGGATACCGGAGCCATTGCAGAATATTATCGAAACCTTTCACATTAATTTTAAGTAAAATGTACATTTTAAAGGAAATATTAATATCTACATAATCATATTATACGGCAATATTTCCGCTCAATTATAGAAGTATGATTGTTCTATCTAGGAAATCCCACGGGACAGGAACGGCGTCAAACTCCTGGGTCTCTCTATTTTTTATTCAACCATTAAAGTTATTTAATTTGAGTGGAATTCAGTGCAACACAATTTGAGTGTCGGAAAATGACACCTGACCTGAGAGTTTCCGCTGCCTGCTGTGCCTATTTGATTAGAATTCAAATGGAGTTTTAATCACTGAAACCTCACGGGAATAGATACTACTATAGGGTAAAATCCCTGTGGGATTGTTTATTTTTTGAAATCAGGAATATGAACAAACATTTCACAATAAATATAACTGAATCGATTCTGATGAGATTTGTTACACAGCATTGAAATTAACCTTGGAAATCATGGACTAATTGAAAAATCCAAAACTTGCCAGAAGTCATTACTATAAGCAAACGAAGTCGCGGCATAAAATAAAAGTTAATACAGACCAATAACTAAATAATTATTTCTGTAACAATAAAATCGTCAATACTTGAGTTATGTACACTGTGCACCGGACAAGTGGACAATTTTTATTGAGTTGTGCCACTATTGCACTAAAGGTTTCATATTAAACTTTGCTTGTACCAGGAGCACATGAGTTTAAAGAGCTCAGCCGGTCTACAATCCTATTATTAAACGACTTAAAAAAATGAGGTTATCAATTCGACCCGTATTTGATTGTATTTCAAGTTGAGTCACTATTGCGCTAATACCTATTCAAAACTAAACTTCGGTAGTACCAGGAACACAGAAATGATATAGAGTATACACAGTGAAAATATTTGTATTGGGTTACTAGCTACTTCCGCGCGATTACACTTGCTCTGCTCGGTGCCTATTAATCGTGGCGTGATATTTTATAGCCTATATAGGCTTCCTCGATAATTGGGCTATCCAACACTGAAAGCATTTTTCAAATCGAACCAGTAGTTTCGGAGATTGGCGCGTTCAAACAAACAAAAAAAAAACAATCTCTTCAGCTTTATAATATTAGTATAACCCAATTAATTAATTAAATACGCTTTTTTAAATTTCTTCATAATGTCCGAGTTGTGCCACTTATGCATTAAAATTTCAATCATAAACTACATTGTCAGGAATATAGAAATAACACGGTAATATTATTATTGAAATGATGCAGAACTTGGTGGAGACATATTTTATTTGTTTATTATCGAGATCGATCAGCTCCTCAATAACGGCATGGCATCGTGTGGCGTGCGTTGGTCGCGTGTAGATCGCAGTTGCGTCTTTGTTCGTCGGAAAATACCACGCGACAGTCCTCTATTACTAAGGTATCAGAAATGAAAGGAGTGGTTTGCCACTGCGTTTATACTGTTTGGATAAGTCGTACCAAAAGTGTAGCAAGTTGCTTCAAAAAAAAAGGAAGAAGTTCTCAATACGACTGTATTTTTTTATGTTTGTTATTCGATTTCTTAAAGACGCCTGGGCGAATTTCAAGTCTTGTTTTATTTGTAAGTTTAGTGTTTAGGATCGTCGTTTGGTACCATTGCCATCAGGTCAGGATCTTTTTATTTAAAATCACTAGGTACAAATTATGATAAAGCTCTAGAGTAGATCTGATGATGGAGCCTCGAGCCTCCTCGAGCATTTTCACCTGTGACCCCATGTTTGGGCTTGAATCTTTATACTATATAATTCTGTTGTACGTGGGTATGTCATTAAACTTCTCCTAAACGGTTTGACCGATTTAAATGAATTTTTCTGTACGCGTTTGAGTGGCGCCCTGGATGGTTTAGTTTTACAAATCAGCCCGGCAGACGGCGCTGCAGTTGGTGTCTAGGTTATTTATCCTAAACGGCTGAACTAATTTGAATGAATTTTTGTTTATATCGTCTGTCGGGTTCGGGTCCGCTAGTATTAATGTATATACTTATCTTATTACCGCTCCTTTAAAATAATTCTATCGAGTAAGAAAAACTCGCACTATACGAGTTGCGTATGTTTAAAGATCCTAATATATAAAATAACAGAGAACGGGTATTATGATATTCGTGTTCTTTTTCCTTTGACATACATATATATATGTATGTAACATCTTCTGACAGTGGCGCCAAGTGGTGAGCAAAAATACGGTAGGCCCCATATTGTGGCAAAAATGAAAGGCTATAATGTAAAATTCGTGTTGATGTGTGAAACATTGCTTCTCTTACTTTGTTACCGGATGACGGAGCCATTGCAGAATTAGTTTTTAAGTATAAAACGTATATTTTAGAGGAAATATTAATATTCATAATTATCATATAATAGGGTGATGTTTCCGCCCATTTTTTGCTAAGGCCAGAGGCTGTCTAAATTGTTTTAACTATTAATAATTACGCACTTTGTCACAGATACGCAAGCAATGGCAATGGCAAGCATCCTATTACACCTATTATCAATCTTTGTTACTTTCTATTTTTCGTATAATTAATTATAATTTCTTTACAAGCATAAAATAAAAGTAGTACAAACCTATAACTAAATAATTATCTTCAGTAACATTAAAATAATCGTCAGTCATACTTTGAGTTTTGTACGCTGTGCACGAACGCTGAACAATTTTATTTTGAGTTGTGTCACTATTGCACTAAAGATTTCATACTAAACTTCGCGTGTACCAGGAGCACATGAATTCATAGAGCTCAATTTGTCTAAAATCCTATTTTGTTGATTGTGAAAAGTATTCGAGTTGAGTCACTATTGCGTTTCAAACTAAACTTCGTTAGCACTAGGAACACAGAAATGATATAGAGTATACATAGTCAACATTTTTACCCAAAAACTTTGAGTTGTGCCACTTTTGCACTAAAATTTCAATCATAAAATACGTTTTTTGTCAGAAATATAGAAATGATGCAGAATTTGTGGAGATAATAAATATACTTTGTTTATTATCCAGATCTCAGATCGACCTCCTCAATAATGAGATGAGACGGCACACACGGCATGGCATCGTGTGGCGTGTATTGCGTTGGTCGTATAATGATCGCAGTTGCGTCTTTGTTCGTCGGAAACAGTCCTCTATTACTAAGGCATCAGAAATGAAAGGAGTGGTTGGCCACTGCGTTGATATTGTTTGGATAAGTCGTTGGACAAGTGGCAAGTTGAGTCTTTTTACCTCGGAAAATCGACTACATTCACCCCAGAGATTACCAGGGCAGTATACATTGAAGAAGTTGTGAACAAAACAATGATATATCCAATATCCATGTCGGCGCGAGGCGCGTTACCACATCCAAGGTATAGCTAGCTAGCTAGCTCTACAAGTAAACTTGCTTGGTCAATGATCGTAGTTTTGCGTCTTTGTCGTTTGTTTGCGTCGGAAAATACTTCGTTACCACTATCGATGTATTAAGGCGTCAGAAACAATTAGTGGTATCACAACTGTTTTATTTTATTATTGAAATCTGTGAAGCAATGGCTACTTGTTGAGTGAGTCTTTTTACTCTGTAAAATCTGGAACCTTAACCCCAGTGTCTACCAAGGCATAATAAATTCATGGAGTACCTTACTCGCATTGTAGTGTTTCTGTTTCCGGTATTCAAATTTGTATGGTGGCAATTGGCATATCGTTAATCTATACATATAATAAAATTGTAGAAAAGTGCTATCTGTACATTGAAAATAAAAATAAAAAAAATAGCAGGGGCTATTGTTATGTCGATGTCGAACCCAAAAATGTAACTAACTTTTTTTTTGTCTGTTTGTCTGTTTGTCTGTTCACGCTAATCTCAGAAACGGCTTATCCGAGTTGGATGCGGTTTTCACGAATATATTGTGGTATGCTTCAGTTATGCTTTAGTGTTTGTTTCATGTCAATCGGTTCATAAATAAAAAAGTTACGTCAAATTAAAGAATCACGTCGAACACTATCTATCTATCTATATATATATATAATAAAATTGTAGAAAAGTGCTGTCTGTACATTGAAAATAAAAATAAAAAAAATAGCAGGGGCTATTGTTATGTCGATGTCGAACCCAAAAATGTAACTAACTTTTTTTTTGTCTGTTTGTCTGTTTGTCTGTTCACGCTAATCTCAGAAATGGCTTATAAATATATATATATTTAACAGGGTGCGGAAAAGGTGATAGTGGTTTTATTCCTCAGATTCCTCTCATTCCAAAAAATTTTCCGTTTAATTTTAAACGAATTCAGTTTCCAGTGAGCCTATGTTTCGCCATGACAATTAATAAAGCTCAAGGTCAGACTCTAAAAGTTGTGGGTATAGATCTAAGTATCAGCTGTTTTTCGCACGGTCAATTGTATGTGGCTCTGTCCCGTGTTAGCAATCCCAGCAGCCTGTATGCTTTCACCCCCGATGGCCATACGTCTAATATTGTATATAGAGAAGCATTACAGTAAAGTAGGTTTTTTAGCTACCCAAAATGACTGTGATTATGATCCAAATCTAAAATATAAATAAGTATATATTTAAAAAAAAACGCTGCTCATAGTCACTATTCTACGCGAACGAAGTCGCGGGCACAGCTAGTTAAATAATATATGGGCAGTGCCCATTGGGCACTAACAAATAATGCTGGTAAGAAAATCACGTTTGCAAATTATATTCGGTAGTTTTATTCACAATTCAGGTTTGATTTTATAAGTATGTAATCACAAAAATATTCTTAGGTACATAATTTTTATTTTTATACAAAATTCACCCATGTACACATAAAAGTGCTTTATTCTCTAATATTGTAATAATTATGTACTAATAATTATTGTATAATTGTTTTATTGTAATTGCCATATTTTGAGGAACTATTGGATTATAACTTTATTAACTTAAATAACTATAAAGACGGCAATCACCTTATTTTTTACCCATATAAGCAAAAATAATATTATATTAAATATGTACTGTGTAGTACACAACCAAAATATATGTGTTTAATTGTAAAAACTTTTAATTATTAGTGATTTGCATCACTACAGTTAATTTCAAATATCCTCTTCTGCAACATGTTGCTATTCGCATTATTCAGGTTCGGAACAGGGAACTACAAAATATGCTTCTATTATATTGTAAAAGTGTGAAAAAATACAGATACACATCGATAATTCTAACTCGGCGTGATCATGTGACAATAATATTTGTAAGTAGTTACTGAATACATAAAAAACTGTTTTTCTTGAACATTACATTGCAATCGGGTACGATTGCCATCTAGTCAAATTCAAAACTTTTTTCGAACTGTCAAAAACGACAGTTTTCTATGACTTTTAGACGAGATTATGCATTGTGATGTCACGTTATTTAGCGTCAAACAGCATACTTATTTCTTAAACATTTGCGAGGAAGATACATATTAAAACGAAGTTGGACATAAAATCAATTAATGAAAGAGTGAATAATTTTTAATATTTTAATGTATTGAACAGTCAAAATATTTTTTTTTGTATTAAATAAAGTACCCATTTGGATAAGCATGTCTTGTAGTTCTAAATAAAAATAGTGTTTACAATATTTATGTCCATTTTAGATCAGTTAGAAGAAATAATTAAGTTATTTAATCTACAGCATATCCTAGTGTTCTCATATCGTTGTCAAAGTTTTTATTCTTGTACTGCTTAATTTTCGTCAGCCATTTTTCTAGAGACACTTCTTGTCGATGCCCGCCGTACCGTTTCGGAAGACAATCGGGAGCTATGTATCTGTAATATTATGGAATTTTTTAGAAAATCTGAGATGGGAAGGTTCCAATAAATACTGATTTATTTCAGGCAATATATAGATTCATTTCAGGAAACTTAATTGTTTGTATACCAATATTTTCTGGACGTTAAATAGTAAGCATAACATGGCTACGCTGCTTCTCCCTTGCTATAAGTGTGGGAGAGCTATGCTTCGGCACGAATGGGCCAGCTCGACCGGAGGGATACCACGGTCTCATAAAAGACCGACGTGAAACAACGCTTGCGTTGTGTTTCGTCGTGTGAGTGAGGTTACCGGAGGCCCAATTACCTCTCCCTCCCTCTGACAATCTCTGAGTCCCCAACAATCCTCAAATTCCTAATCCCAAAAGTAACGCTGTAACGCCTATGGTGTGCCAAGTGTCTATGGGCGACGCCGATTGCTTACCTTCAAATGATCCGTCTGCTCAGCCATCCCATAAAAAAAGCTGTGTTTATCGCCTGAACGGTCACATTAATTATATTAAGCTCTATTCTGTCAAACTTTCGAAGTGAGCTCGATCGCATTCTCACCCGCCATTACTCGAGATTATTCTCACAACCAATGACGTGGCGGACCGCCATCGAGTTCACTTCAATCTTTCGAATTGAAATTTGCAGAGTAGCCTAGCAGTTATCTACTTACCAGTAGTCTGTGGCTAGGTATCCCAGCCACAATAACAAGTTTATGGACAATTGCAAAATTATCCTTTTATTAGGTATCTAATATCTATCCCAACATAAACTAAGACCCACCTACAGTATATTATTATAGTTTACTATTGCCCGAATACTGAAACACCACTCAATTGTAAGTCGCGCTTAAATGATATAGAATAGCATAACATAACATCACGCCTTTTATCCTCGAATACCGTAGGCAGAGGTGAACATTACGGCACTTAATGCCACTGTACAATGTAACACCCACTTTTCACTATTAAAATGACAGTGATGGCACGATATTTAAGTACAATTTAAAATTGAGTAGCCTTTCAGTCAACGGGTGTATGAGTAGGTACTATTATCAATAGGTAGGTACTCACTTATGTAGAGAGCTAAGATCATTTCCATGGAATCGGACCCTCTTCCAGAGATCGTCCACGGGCGCCAGACGTTTGAAGAAATGAAATAATGTTTCGAAGACTCTCGAGCAGTTCACTACATGAACACCTCGCTGGTGGAGCGGGAATGCAAACTGGAAAAATAATGGTAAGAAACAGGGACAATAAATACCTTCTTAAGTTAAATTATTGAGAACTTCTCATCATTGGCCACCAGCATTAACTGTATAGGAAAGATACTTAAACTTCTCATGTTCTATTAAATCCTGGTGCTATCTAAAAATAGGAACGCAAGAAAATTCTTTACCCCCATAACATTCATGGCTTGCAAGGCTATGGCTGGTGAGAACTGCCGCATGTGCTTCATGGTAAGACCTTCGCAGTCCAGTAAAGCAGTTCCTCCTAGCACTTGCAACTTTGGCTGCATGATGCCAATTTCCAGAAGAAGTAGACATCCTCGGATAAGGTCGTCTACTGGATAATCATCTGGGTCCCATTGTCCTGGAAATGACGTAAATTGGACTAATTAAAGCATTATTATTATTAAGCTTTTAACTGCCGATAAAAACAGCTACGATAGCGTCGGTCATCATTGTGCGACACGGTATCCAATGTGTTAAGTGAAAATCTACAAATATTAAAATAATATGTTGGAGAAATAAAACGAATGACAATATTGAAAGCGATAAATACTTGCAAACTAAGATACCAAATCTGGTCACAGATTTAGTTTTGAATATAAAAAAAACCGTTTAAAAATAATCTTGGATAACTTTCATGACTCTAATGATAACAATTTAGATCGTGGGTAATCGTTTCAAGGCTGTCAGTTTTCGGTAGAACTTCTAGAAATATACGCACCAATAAAAAATAATAAAAATTAATGATAACACAGAAATCCTTTTCAACGGACCTAACTAACCTTTTGACTTTGTAATTAGTAACAATTTAACTAGGAGCACAACATTAAGTAGGAGTTTAATCTGTTGTATTAAATGTACAGTACTTACCAAGTCTACAAATAATAAGCCTACCAACATCCGGCCTGTCAAAGAGTACACCTTCAAACACATGGCCTAGTTTTGTGAGGCCGAACCAGTCGATGTCACGCCATAAGTGCGGGTTCTGGTCACGGAAGTTGCAGTAGCGAACTAACTGGAACGAAATGAGACGTTTGTTTTAAATATTTAACCGTTGTGCGTCATTAGAAGTTTATATCTCAGTAATCACACACACTGACAGCCACGTCATAAATACATTACGCATGAGGAACTGGGGAACAAAAATTAAAACTATTATACTTACAAGTCTATGCGCTCGCGCAGGCACGGATCTCCGCGCCCTCAGGAACCGCAGTAGGAACGCGTCGTCCATTCGAGGAGGGTGACACTCACCCCTTTCTGTGGAATATTTTTTGTAATTATGAAAAGATGCAAAAGCATTCTACTAAAATAATAGGCAAATAATAAAGCTATCAATAGCAAGTTACTGGGTGCGGTAATCAAGTGACTTTGCTATAATTATTCGATCAGGAGCTATATTAATTAAATTTTATTTGTGTAGGTAAATTAACACTATCTTATTTATCTGTAAACTGTTTGCTAGCGATTTATATATACTAAGTTGTAAGTAAAATATTATTTCATCCGGCGCAGAACCTGTTGGCGCTTTAAACATCACAGTCACTCGATAGATGGCGTTTTACTATATCTTACGCCAACCAAGTCTATCAAACTCTACAAACCCTGTAGTCCTGTACTCCTCCGTTGCCCGATAAGGTTCTAAACTTCTGCTGAACCTCAAACTTGTTACGAGCTAAGTTTTCTTGTGTAAGCTCTAAGATAAACATACTTTATTATTTTTGGAACGCTTAGCTTCGACAGTGCTTTATTTATTGCTGCTATGCTGATATTTAAAAATCATGAATGGGTAATGTAGCAAACCAACTATGTCTTAAAGATACTTTGAAATGCTAGAGAAAAACAGTGAGTTAGTTACCTATTTATTTTTATCTCAAGTACCTATACCTAGGTGCTAGTGATTAAATAAAACTCCTATAACATTTGAGCATGTGCTTGTTGAAGACAACGAAATCTACAACTTACAGTGCTATTATTCAAAATCAGTATTTTCATTTACACCACATAACATCACGCCCATTATCTTCGAAGGGGTAGGCAGAGGTGCTTATTACGACACTTAGTGCCACTCAACATTTTTTTTTTTTTTTTTATGGGACAAGCCCGCCACAACCTCCCAAAACCGCTGCAACTCCTGTAAGCCAGGATCTACAGTAGATACAACCATGAAAACACCGGAACACTGAAGTCCGGCGCGTCCCAGGGACATGAGTAACTGTCTTGGTTCCCGCAACGAAGTGAATCAGAAGATATTATAAGAGGAGAAGAAGAAAAACTATGGTGCCACTCAACAATGTAACAACCACTTTTAACTATTTATTAGTCCATGAGTCTCATGTAATAGGGGGTGAGCCTATTGCCATATACCGGGCACATTTCCAGACTCCTACTCAGAATAAAAAAATCAAATCCAGTAATATTTTGCTCGACTCGGGAATCGAAGTCCCCTTGCCCAGCAGTCACACTTGCGATCTCTCAGCCAACGAGGCAGTCATTTTAATTTCTCTTTACAAAATAAAACGAACAGAATAATAATGTAATCAATCTACATTTGTACATACACATACATACATATGTACATAACTTCACGCCTGTCTCCCATAGGCAGGCAGAGACTGTGGAACGCCATTTGCTACGATTCCTATAATAATATACCTTTTTCGCTACATTAACAGTTATCAATCTTTTCATGCTCGTCGGTTAAGCAACCGTATTAATAAAAAAACCCTTTGAATACACCTGTAATTAATAATTACGGCAATTTTTAAATAATGAGTATTAATTAATGACGCTATCTTGAACAAAATCTACCTTTCGTATAATGTAATCATTACAAGACGCATACACAAACAATAAATGTTTTTTATAGTATAACGTGAAAGAATAGGCCTGTAATGTACTAGGGACACAGATCTAACAACGATTAAAAATAGTGGAGGTTATTTACAATCACTTGTAAGTTGCAGCCCGCAAGTAAACGTCGAATATCACACTTCGCAAGGTTATTGACCTAACAAGAAATCTTTTGTTTATTCTCAAACAAAATTGATGTTCTAGTAAATTCGGTGTTTTGATAAAATATTTGTTTATACCTAATTGATTACTTTGCTCATTTTACTGTTCGATGTGTGAGATTGGTACTATATTAAAACGGTTAATAATAGTTAAAATTGAGAAGGATACATGTAAGGTTTAATTGGCAACCATAGAATAAAGGCTTGTTTCTGTAGGTAAAAATGAGTGACAAAGAAATTAATTGGGTCTTAACCGTTGCAATTTATGTTTCCTTGGTATTTATCGCCTTTTACGTCAAGTTTCCGTAAACCTATGGTATCGCTTACCTAACTCTGACTTAACTGTTATGCATTACGTGTAACTAGGTAATTCCTTCTACGGTTGACGAGATAATAGTAGTCATTAATCATTTCACCATCTTGATCGTTATTTTCTTCGGTTCGCATATTCTGTTATACCTATCCTACAAAAAAATATGTATTTTCTTGTATAATATTGCAAAAACGAGACCGCTTGTACTGTTAAAAAATAATCACATCTCATGTAGAGTCAAAGTTCTAATCTATGTAATCCTATACAATACAATAGCTCTACCTAGTAGCGCGTTGTTCATTGTGCGTAGTTCGTAGCGTGTAGGTCGTAGCGCTTACTTCTTAGCGAGTAGTTCGTAGCGCGTAGTTTGTTACATGTATAAGCGTCTTTTCGCTATTATTCCCCCATGTTTGCAGACTGTGAACTCCACAGGCGAAAAGAACGCTCATACAGAGTTTATGAACTTGCAGTTCTACACATTTGTCAAAATGCGTGGTCTTTGATTTTAATTTTTTTTTTTTTTTTTATGGAATAGGAGGCAAACGAGCAGACGGATCACCTGATGGTAAGCGATCAGCGCCGCCCATGGACACCCGCAACACCAGAAGAGTCACAGGTGCGTTGCCGGCCCTTTAAAAAGGAGTACGCTCTTCTCTTGAAGGTTTGAAGGTCGTATCGGTTCGGAAATACCGCCGACGACAGATCATTCCACAGTTTTGCTGTGCGAGGCAGGAAGCTACGTGAGAACCGCACAGTTGTGGCCTGCCAACCATCTATATGATGGGGATGCATATGCTGTCGTGAGGGTCGATGGCGAAAAGATGCGGCAGGTATCAGGTCAAACAATTCCTCAGAGCACTCCCCGTGGTATAAGCGGTAGAAAATGCACAATGAAGCTACATCTCTACGCATTGCCAAAGTGTCGAGCCGGTTTGAAACATCCGGACATCCAACAATCCGAACGGCACGCCGCTGAATGCGGTCCAGAGGAAGAAGCTGGTACTGGGGTGCCCCCGCCCAAAGATGAGAACAGTATTCCATGTGGGGCCGCACCTGTGCCTTATATAGAAGCAGGCGGTGGGTCGGGGTGAAATACTGCCTCGATCTATTGAGCACACCAAGCTTCCTCGAGGCTAATTTGGCCTTATCCTCTAAATGACCGCAAAACTGGACGTCGCTCGAAATATTGACACCAAGTATTCCAATACCGGCTGAGGCAGTTAGGGGGGTGCTTTGAAACTGAGGAGAGACGACCAACGGCAGTTTCTTAGCGGTAAACACGCAGACTTGTGTCTTAGTGGGGTTAAATTGGACCAAATTAAGTCCACCCCAATCAGAGATTCTCCCTAAAGAGGTCTCGATTTCAGACACGAGTCTGTTTCGGCTCTCTATGACGTTTTCCCGAGAAATGTTAGCGCGGCCGGTGTAGTAGGCATCGCCTGTGCTGTCATCCGCATAACAATGAATGCCGCTGATTTGCAGCATGTCATTGATATGGAGGAGGAACAATGTAGGCGATAGCACGCAGCCTTGAGGGACGCCTGCATTTACAGACATCAAGTCAGAGCATTCACCGTCGACGACGACTTTAATGCTTCTGTCTGCAAGGAAGTAGGAGACCCATTTGCATAATTTCTCGGGAAGTCCGTAGGAAGGAAGCTTCGAAAGAAGCGCTCTATGCCAAACCCGATCGAAGGCCTTCGCCACGTCTAAACTTACTGCCAACGCTTCCCCCTTAGACTCGATCGCCTGTGCCCACCGATGCGTTAGGTAAACAAGGAGATCACCAGCAGACCGACCTTTACGAAAACCGTATTGCTGGTCACTGAGCAGCTGATGATCCTCTAAGTAACGCAGGAGCTGGCAGTTAATAATGGACTCCATTATTTTCGAGAAGAGGGAAGTTATGGCTATCGGTCTGTAGTTAGACGGGTTAGATCGATCACCTTTTTTAGGGATTGGGTGGACTAAAGCTGTCTTCCAGGACGTCGGAACTACGCCTGAGGAATAAGAGAGCCGAAAAAGACGTGTTAGAACTGGGGCCAACTCGGGGGCGCACATTTTCAAAACAATGGGTGGGATCCCATCAGGCCCGCTCGACTTATGGACGTCAAGGGATAAAAGCGCCAAACGTACCGTGCGCTGGTGGAACCGCACATCCGGCATATACCTTCCGCACCAAGGCACAACAGGAGGCTCGCGCCCACCGTCATCCAGTGTCGAGTTGGATGCAAAGATTTTTGCCAAAAGTTGAGCCTTATCCCTTGCGTTATGAGCCAACGAATCCTCACCCATGTGCAGAGGTGGAAATGACGGCCTGCAGAAATTGCCCTCGATAGCTTTGGCGAGCGACCAGAATGAACGAGTTCCTGAAGGAAGGCGCTCCAGCCTCTCACCAATTCTACCGATGTGCTGCGACTTGGCACCCGCAATAGCTCTTTTGAAGGACTTGGAGGCAAAGTTATACTCCTTTTTTAGTGCACTGGTATTTACATCCCGTGCCACCGCCGCATCGACCCAGGCTTGGTAGGCCTCCTGCTTTCTGCGTGAGGCCTTTCTGGTAGAAGCATCAAACCAGGGCCGATATCTGCCACCGACGGGGACCAGAGAAGATGGGACGAAAAGCTCCATCCCCTGCAGCACCACATCAGCAACAGAATTGGCAGCGGCGTTGGGATCATCCTGCAAGAAGCAAGCCCGCCTCCAAGGGTAGGATGCAAAAAAGGACCGCATCCCATCCCAATCTGCCGACCTATAGTGCCATACACGGCGACCGCGTACCTCTTGTAGTCGCGGTGTGCACGTCCAAGATACAGAGCTCCGGACAAGGCAATGATCCGATGAGCCAAGAGGGGCTTCGACGGATACGCTGTAGCCGTCCGGGTGAGAGGTCAGCAGAAGGTCCAACAGTGAAGACCTCTGGCCTTCCACATCCGGGATTCGCGTGGGCACGGTCACCAGTTGTGTTAGGCCAGAAGCAAGAGCCAAGTCGTGGACAGATCTCCCCGCGTGGTCAGTCTTACTGGAGCAGAGCCAGTCGGCGTGATGGGCGTTGAAGTCGCCAAGCAAGACCACTTCCGCTGAGGATATCTGCCCCTGCACAAGATCTACAGCCGTCTGGATGTGGTCCATGAGTCGGTCAGTCTCGCTATCACCGCTATGGGACCTATATAGGCACGCGTAGACACGGGGGTGGTCGTCGTTATCTACACGCAGCCATAAGGTGGACAGGTCCCTACCTTCAAGATTACTGAGGCGACGTGAGCTGATATCGTCCCTGATGTACACGCACACCCCGGCCCTAGGCAGGAAGGAATGTTCCAGTCCATACCCAGGGTAGGTGAGGTAGGATGTGTCCAACGGAGACGATATCTGCGTCTCAGTCAAAAAGAGCAAGGCCGGCTTTGCTGTCTCTAGGTGGTGATGGACAGCATTGAGGTTGGTGTGTAATCCCCTTATGTTGCAGAAGTCCACATTCAGCGTGGCAAGGGGTGCCATGGTTATTCTGCTCTTGCCTCCAGCTTTATGATGCGCAGTTTTGCCCCCCCCAGAGTACGATGTGGGGCGGCCTGGACGTCCACGCTCAGGGTAGTTGAGTTCTGAAAATGGACGTCCAGAGAGGGATTCTCCAACGCAGTTGGTACCCTCCTGGGGTAGAAACTCTTGAATCAACTGCGACATTATGAGGGGGGGGGGGTTGGGCCTCCGGTACCCTCACTCACTCGGTGAAACACAGCGCAAGCGCTGTTTCACACCGGTTTTCTGTGAGGCCGTGGTATTACTCCGGTCGAGCCGGCCCATTCGTGCCGAAGCATGGCTTCGAATTCGAATTTTACAAAACTATTGTATTCAGGAAAGTTATGTCAGCTTGATACTCTGCTTGGCCCTGTTTGGCTCGGCTATGTTTATAATTATGTTTGTATGACTACCAGGATAGAGATGATTGGGAATAAGGTATGACAGTTTATTTGCTTACCATATATCATATTCCTAAGTTCTACGATATTTCTCGTTCTGGTGGCTGGATCTTCTGCGCAAAGAATGAAAGCTTCTTCCTCGGATTCCGGGTCGTCGTGACGATCCATCTCCGCTTTGAATGCTATCTCTTGAAACGTCCATAGTTCCGTGTCGGTCTGGTAAACAAAAGGACATGAGAAAAATTATATGTCTTTTTAAATAAACGAAAAAATGCCTTTTTATGAAGTAGAAGTAGGTGATTTGACTTAATTTTATTCATATTTTGCAGAATACCTATTAGATGCACAAGTTCAAAAACGGTAATTTCTAAATTATTCGAAATTCATATAATATTTCCAGGCGAGAGATATAAATAAACAGATTATTTTTAATTGGCTAGACATGTTTGACGCCAACACAAATCACCTATCTTAAAAAGTTTTATCATATACATAGATACATAGTTACATAGTATTATACAGTTATGTGAATGTGACATTGTTTCGCGAAATGAATCAATTGTAGCAATAAAACAGTTATAAGTGTGAATTATACTGCTGTCATACGACAGAGTTGATACTATCGAATTTATTCATTTATTCACTTGTCTATCAATCGATAAGAGTGGTGAAATTGTTTGTCTTGCTCAAAAGTCGATACTTATCACTTTCTTAAGTAACAGTAAAATTATTGCCAAAGAAGAGTATCTTATTTTGACATCACGTCCCATAGTCTCTGCCTACCCCCATTGTAGACAGGCGTTAGTTTATGTATGTATGTATGTATGCATGATGAACATTTTTAGCATCGAACGTGTGTCAAGCATTTACTGTACAACAACGAAGGTACATATTAGATCAGTCAACTCAAATTTTAGATGATTATACTGGCACTTTTTTACAAAAATGACATATTTGCAGTTGCGTTTGTAAATACAACGTGTTTTCCTAGAAATAGTAAACACACGGCGTACAGTACAGGTAACGACTTAATAACTTTTTCCAGGAGAATCTGTGAATAAACCGTATAATAACAGAACTGCTGAAGAGGATTTTACATTGTATCGTATATGACCCGGAGCTGGGGACGGCCTAGTGGATGCTCCGGCTCGAAGTAGAATAAAGACTCACGTCGCGATTTGCTTCGAACGGGGTGGTTTTCAGTCAATAAGAGTCTGACAAGAATTTGGAAGACGAAATGTGCGCAGGCCTCCCGCTAGGTGGACCATCAACATCACCAGAGTTGCCGGAAGCCGTTGGATACAGGTGGCGAGCTGTCGTTCAACGTGGAGGACCAAGCGGGAGGTCTTTTGTCCTGTAGGTGCGTCTTCCAGGTTTTAATAATGATGAAGAGTCTGACTCTCTCTCTCTCACCTCACTCAAGGGGGAGAAGTAATTGTTGAATGATTTTCCCTTTCAAAAAGAAAACCATTTTAGCATGTCTGTTTTAACCTTCGGGGATTAAAAGATATTATGTTGTTTCATTCATAAATACGTATAAATAAACAGGAAAGAAGTGTACAATGCACGTGAGCATGGATGTGGCAACATAGATATAGACATTGGCAGTGTGACTGGAAGCGAATAACCGCGCGAGTGATTAGGACAAGTGCAGTCAACGTGCAAGTAGCTAAATGCTCAAACATAGCCTTGTGCACTGTACCCATTAGAAGAAATTGTATGATTTCAGTCAGTAATTATGCAGTTAGAATAAATATGTTTTACATATTGAGGAATTGTTGAGATCGATGGTTTATCTACCTGTGTTGTTTGTGGATTGGTCGAAGATAAACCATTATTAAAATTTGGTAATTTCTTACTATTCCGAAGGGATAACGATATAGGATTTTTTTTTTTTTTAATGGGGGAAAGTCATCGAATGACTGCTCCCGCCTGGGTGAGGCGGGAGGGAGTGTCAGACTCTTACTGACTAAAAACCACCCCGTTCCTTCTCCTGTACGTCGAGCCGGAGCCCCGGTTACCCGTTAGGTTCTCCGCGACTCCGAATCGGCATCGGCCCTATTGGGCCCCATCTGTGGTGGTCTGATGGCTCTTTGAGGCGCGCGCGGAACGCGACGCGCCGTACGCTCGGGTCTGTTTCTGGTCGGACGGGGAGCCACCCATGCTCGCCGTCCGCAGGCCCGCGCTTACGGTGGCCGGAGATCGTCTCGCGATCCCCGACGCCCGGTGTGTCCTTCGCGATGGCTGGGTTGCGAGGAGGCAGCGCTTCGCTGCCTCACGCGTCCCGCCTCCTCCTTAGCTAGCATGACTGCTTCGCAAAAGGAGGAGACGGCATCCCAGTCCCCCTCGCTCGCTGGCCTGCACTAGGCCCGGACGCGAGAGGTCGCCATCGCCGATCACTTCCCTGAGGACACGGCGGTGCTCAGCCCACGCAGGGCATTCCTCGACAGTGTGTTCCACCGTGTCCTCAGGGCGGTCCTCGCAGTGATGACACCCGGACGTTTCCTCCCGCCCCATCAGACACAGGTACTAACGATATAGGATAAGGGCTTTCTAAGGAGAGGTAACGACTTCGAACAACCAATTTGTACAAAATAATACTCCATGTTTAAAATTCCTACAACTATCTAATTACTAGTAATGGGTACTAATTACCTAAGTAATGGGTTCGTTTGAAGATGTCTTTCAAAACTTAAGCCTATGATGTTCATCTGTGTAATAACAACTGAGTTCTTTCTGCTCTGTTTAGCTGAATTAGACTATCCTTGCACAATAGAATAGCGACGTGAGTTATATATTAACAAATCTGCTTATGGCTTTTTGGTTTGAACCATGAAGTATTTGATTACCAGGCAGCCTTGTAAAGGGACTAGCAAACTCGCTAAGCAGAGCAAGGTGTCAAGGCAAACTATCTGTTACTGGCTGGGTTAAGCCAAACTAGGCTCCAATTACTCACTCACCTACCAGGTTAGCATATTAAGTAGGAATCTGTAAGTACTTCTATAAGGTAAACTTTCTTAAGAGGTTTGAAATGACGCGTGGGAGGGGATTTGGGTTTCCTAAAATAGGAAAGCACTTGGGTTTATAATTTTTGTTTGGGAACTTTTACTTTGTTTATTTTTATTTCTAACTTTTTATCAGTTTAATTTTTATATGTATTACAAAGGTTCACGAACCTTTAGATTGATTATTACCAAGGAACATGAAGCTCAAAACAAGCATTGGAAAGACGCAAAGTTGTCAGAGCTGTCAGAAATTTTCATACACAAAGAAATTAATTATTTTGTTGGTTTTATGCTCATGTATGGCCTTAACCTTAATCCTTATCTTACCTTCATTTCCCACTTTCTAATTTGACAGAGTAAAATTATCCTTCCGTAGAGCCAACTACTAAGTAAACATAAAATCACAGAGGTTTCACATCTAACTCGTTTCCTAATTAAAATACCTTTACGCACCTGCAACTCCAATTTACGTACTTCCTACATACCATAAATACATGGTATGACATGGCTCACCCATCATAGAAAGCGATGCTAACCATCGCACTACGACGACCATGGAGAAAGCTCCAAGTTTACTTTAAGTATTTAAGATTTGCTCATCATGAGTACATTATTTTGAAGCATTAAGGTGTAAAAGCAACGGTAATGTTTTACAATCTGGTTTTCTCGCGTCAACTTGTGATTAGATGTCAAGTTGGATAGTAAGATTTCTATGCCTCTACAACCAGTTAAGTTAAAGAATTTATTAGGTGCCATAACTGAGTTGAAGCAAAATAAGTTTTTCTTTTCACAAATTCGATTCTCAACAACTGCATGATGTTGATAAAATTGATAATAGGGATGATGACAGGGTATGAGAATTAAAAATCTAATTAATCCGTAAGTTAGGTAATGATAAATATTAGACACGTATTTTTTTATTTTGTCGTATAATAAAACAATACTTAGATAAAACGAATTAAAGTTTAGGAGTAGGGGCTAAAACGGCATTTCTACATATAAAATGTACATGGAAGTGACGTCACGCGAGCAGAACTGCTTTTAAACGCACAGAGAAAATTATCTTTTATTAATATATTTTTTGATTTTATCCTATGCCGTGGATGCGTTTACAAACACATGACACCCAGACCCGAAATAACAATCTGTGGATCACACAAAGAGTTGTTCCGTGCGGGAATCGAACCCGCGACACGTTGCGCGGCACCCGAGTCAACCGAGTAGTCCTCAATTTGTAGCTTAAAAAAGGCTTCGTTCTTTTCTCGAAGCAAAGTAACATACCAGCTGCGTGTTCTACTTATACCCACACACGTGTACATATTCATCCCAATTTTAAAACTGCGTGTTAATTATGACCCTTGCGCCGTGTAGCGTGTCAAAATTACGCATTTCTGACAACACCTGGAAAGTAATTTTGAGAATACTTATTGTGTACAGTACTAATAATTAGGCTCACACGCAAACAATTTTTTTTGGTAAATGACTCTTAAACTACGGGCCAACGGTTTTAACAAATTTGTCATGAAGGAAAATCGTTTTATAATTATAATGAGGTTCTTTTGTTTAGCTAATTGGCTGATTCAAAGAAAACCATTGAATACTTTAGTTAAAGCATTCTTTAATATTTATCTTAATATTGAAGAATGGTAATAATAAACTTGAGTCTAGACTTAAGTTCTAGAGAACCAAAATATTTACATATTTAACATATTCACAGTTGCTATTAGTTATAAGATTATTCTAAACTTTTATATGAATAGTGTAATTGGTTTTTTGTACCGTTCTATTCGTATAAATAAAGAAGTAAATATGACTTCAAAACGAATAATATTTTTCTTTTTAGCACGTCTTAATTAACTTAAAGTTGTGTAGGTAGTGAAGATATATTTTATGGCAGTGCTAATTAGACATCTTACGTTTTATTCTACGGGTTCTGTGACTGTGTTGTACATTATAAGTACGATGGAAAATAAATCTAACTACTAACGTGGTTAAAGGTTTATTAGATACCTTCTGGATAAATTATTTCGAGAAACAAAAGGAATTCGCAAACAACTTATGAATACTAGATGCAAATTAGATTAGTAAACAGACAAAAATATACATATAATAGATGTTTTATTACTAGATAACAATTCAATGTTAATCACAATTTTAATGCTTAATACTTTAATGACACCGTACTAGTCAAGTGGCTAAAATAAAGTTAAT